GCAAGATCATGCTTTTATCTTTTTTAAATTTAGCTTGAATGTTTGAGTGGACGGATTGACAGAGCCGGAGCCCACGCTAAGGAGAGCTTGTTGCGTAGACCCCGACCCCTACCGTCCGATCGCGCAATTCCGGGTATCGGGAGAATTTAGATGCCAAAGTTTAACATGCCCTTCAAAGCCGGACACGGCCTGTCCCACTCAACTGACTTCAACTGGCTGCGGCTGCTCCCACCAACCGCAGACCATGCCAGTCAGGAGTTTCAAATATCGAGCGCCGGAGCGTCTCGAAAAGCGAAGCGAAAACTAGAGGGGGGATGCCTATTCATAGCCCTTCCCCCCCAGAGTGGGGTGCAGGTTAACCCGCGCATGACAGGGGTATTTTCCATAACGCGAGTGACTGGGGGGGGGGGGCTCTCCAGAGCCCCCCTCCTATTTCCGAAACTACTGGGCCGATCGTAAAAATCTAAACGGCGTCTGATAGCCCTAGAAAAACTGTCGAGCGAAACGTATTTTCATTGACCTCGAGGTCACCGATGACGTCACAGGTCAGGTCAAACTAAAAATTATCGGCATTTTTGCTTGTTCACAATTTAGGCTCTGGCCGCCGGCTGACAAGTCCGATCAGGCTCATATTTGGTTTACGCACTCCTTGATAGATGTCTTACATACCCCGAGAGTACCGAACTTTTACTTCGATTTTTTTCAGGTTAAGGTCAGGTCATCCTAGGTCACGAATATTGTATATCATGTATCGGTCACGTGACGCATGTTTTAACCCGCGCCCTGCTGGGGGGTGTTTGAACACCCCCCCCCTTGTGGTTTTTCGCTAATATCTCAAAAACGGCGGCGCTCCGCGCCGCCGTTTTTGGTACACCTTATCATACATCAATTCTACACATGTTGTGAAAATTTCAGACCAAAGTCATTCAAGGTCAGGTCACCAGGTCACTTGAAGTGACCTCACCTCATAAAAAGTTTCAATGTCTGTCATAGCTACACCGAGTGACCGATCGCTTTGAAACTTTCAGCGATTGCTAAGAGCAATAGCATGCACAAAATGTATATCTCAGAATTTTGATATCGATGACCTAAGGTCAGGTCAACTTTGCGACCTCCCCATTATAAGTCAATGGGAGAAAATTGAAATGCGCCTCTTTTGGACGAAAGACATTATAAACACTCCCAAACACTGAATTACAAGTGGTTTAGACACATTGAACATGAAAATGGTGTCCGTGACCCCTATTTATGCCCTGAGGTCATCTTAGGTCACGAATGGTATCTAACAGTTTTTCGCAAATAACTTTTGATAGAGGCATGCTAGAGCGATGAAAACGCCTTAGATGTGTTCAGCTTGACGATACGGATCGACTGATATGCAACATGACCCTTTCCGGTCAGGTCATGACCTTGACCTGAGGTCAAATTTTCAAGTTGACCTTTCAAGGTCAAGTTACAGTTCATTCGATGCGTCTTGACGAGAGGAACACGATGCCGGTAAAAGTAAGCTCGTACAAGGCTTGGGTCAAAAGTTATTGCAGAAAACTGTTTGCGAAAAAAATCGGCTATTTTTGCAGTTTTTGCCCCCTGCAGGCAAAACCGTTGACGTTAAGTCAAATCTGAGGAAATCACTCATAAAGGGCGTTAACCCTATTAGTGGCAGGCTCCTGGCTACCCCATATTAGTGGCAGGGGGGGCTGTTTACGACCCCCCCTTGATATCTCGAGATCTAACCGGCCTATTTTCAAAATTCAAACGGAATTCGATTTGGCTCAACGAGATCTACATTTCTAAAAAAAATAAAATTGAAAAAAGGTCAATAGGGGGGTAGAGGGGGGTAAAAACGGGCAAATTGCAGATACATTTTAGACTGTTTATCACGGCCAGGTTTCTGAACCAATCTTAACGCAACTTTTGCCGATCGATAGAGAATGAACCAGGAATTCACATGGATCCTAAAAATATGCGTTTTCAAAAATCATAGGCGAATACAGATCATTGAGATTGGAGGTACACAAAAAGTATAGTAAATAAGGTTTTTGTTGGTACTGTTTCTAAAAAGGGTGGCAATGGTCTTGTTATGTTACAATTTTCTTATGAGAGAACGACTAAAATTGTATTGGTCATGCATAGGCGGTGTCAGGGCACCTATGTTGGGAGGTAAAAAATAACCCCCCTTTTTGGACGCCTGGATCCGCCTATTATAGCAAAAACGTGTCAAAAGAGCATGCACAATAACTTTGTATATGTTATCACATGATACCTTTCATTCACTGTTCGTAAAACTGGTGCAGCATCGTGATCTTCGCCCAAATGACTCGCTTCACGAATAGGACCCCCAATTCCCAGTGCTCTGGAGCCGCCCCTGGTAAAGTTATGAACTTGAAATTTCCAGGGAATGTGTCTAACTTAGTTTTAGGAAAAGTGAGAAAATTTCAGCATCGTAGCTTCAGCGGTTTCGGAGATATTCCCGAAAAACCTGAGGGGTGGATAAAAACAACCCCCCTGCCACTAATAGGGTTAATAGGGCTATCGAATGCGTTTTTCCGCGGCGCTGTAGCTCTATTGGTTCCCGAGTTATGCGTTGGCTTCTTGGAAATTGTCGACATTCGACCTGGAAATCGGCGAAATTTTGCCTTCAATGACCTCTGGTGACCTGACCTTTGACCTGACCAAAAAATGACCGAAGTGATTTCCTCATTATTTTTGACGCTCTTTCGAACTTCCGCGTATCGCTTCGTGGCCCAGGAGCCGAGTTAGAAGGGGGGGTGTTCAAACACCCCCCCCCCAGCATGGCGTGGAAATCCAGGACCCCCAGCCGGGCGCGGGTTAAGGTCCATTTTATTCGTAGAGTTCAAAAATATTGTTGGCTGTGTCATTTGAGGTCATTTTCAGCTGAATTTACCGGAGGTTAGGTCATTTTCAGGTCAGAAAAGGTCAAATTTTGAAAATGAAATTTTCAACAAAAAAGGTGCCTATCAGATGCAGTTTGAGCTCAGGAACACGATGGTGCCATTTATATTGCTGTACGATGTCAAAAACGTACTGAAAAATGACTGAAAAATATATAATTTTTAAATTTAGACAATAGAGCTAATAACACGGCTATTTTTGAAGATATTAGGCTAAGACTTGCTAGAGTAGTTCATGAGTGTATGTTCTATCACATATATTCCGGTTTTTGCGAAAAAATTAAATACTCTTTGATCAAAAAAATATATTATTTGTAATTGTAAAAAACATATTTTTCAAAATTTTCAAAATTCGAGATAGCAGTTTGATAGCTTCGTTTATTTGCAGTCCACCGATGCAAAGAAATTGGATCTAGCTTTAAACCTAAGCTCTTGAGAGCGTTTGCCGTAATTCAATATTTTGCATCAAAATCAGCCGACATGACGTCACTCTGACGTCATTTCCGGCCATACTGTCGTAGCTAGAAAGTTGAAATTTTAACACAAGGTGTCAAATTGATGCCGCTGAGGGTACCGCAAGTTTTGTGTTGATCCGTCAAACGGTTTAGAAGATATTGCCGAAAAACGGGAGGGGGCTCTGTAGAGCCCCCCCCCCCCCCAGTCATGCGCGGGTTAACCCTCGCCGGCACAGGGGGGGAGGGTGATGCACCCCCCAAGGTTTGTCGCGAATAACGCGCGTAAAAAGCGGCCGATCGCGACGAAACTTTCAGTACCCTCGCATTGATCAATTTTACACCTACCCTGAAAATTTCATGACCCTGACCCAAATGACCTTTGACCTGTGACCTCTTTTCCGAGACCATGTTTGGCCGGAATCACGATTCGGCGTATGTCGGCTCGCATTAGCCGCGCGTTTGCAAGCTTTTCGTGGTTTCAAATGTTCAAACATGTGTTTTGATGCTGCTCCCATACATTAGGGTGGGTGTCAAGGTCACCTGAAGGTCAGGTCAGGTCATTGACCTTTGGTGACCTCGGGTGACCTCGGTTCACTTTTTCGGGTTTTACATGTTTCTAGGCTAGTTTTTGGACCTGAATTCGAATTTAGCAACCATTTGAACATTTACGAAGTAGTTTTGGTGCCTTCGTAACATGTTACGAAGCTGGGGCATTCCACGATAGATCGTACCAGGCCCGTCACCCTCATCTCTCAGATTTTAATGAAAATCGGTCCTAGGGGTAATCATAGGCCCCAAAGACGCCTGGCAAAATATCAGACTTCTCAGATCAAAACTTTTTGAGTTATATTGAATTACATTTTTTGAACTTCGGTATGTAACGGTGAGTTTGATGGCCTATAACTCAAAAACGGGTTAAGCAGCCAACAAAAAGTAAACAACACTAAGCTTGCGATGAATCAAAAATTAATATTGCTATTTAAAAATTCCAAAGAAAAAAATTCATTGTTGAGCAAAAACCTTAATCTTTTTTTCATTTGCCTCTAATGACTTTTGGGACCAAAATTTTTCACATTTTTATTTTTTCAAAATAATCTTCATGTCATTGCAAATCGACATGCAAAAAATTAGAAAGGTGTTCTTTCTATAAGTTCCTCATTTTCCCGCAAACAAAATGGGTTTCGGAGGGGTTCATACGACTCCAGCACGCCGTTTCGCTTCTAATAGAGCTAGAGCCTCGCGGAAAAAAGGAGCGTGTGTGCCGTTACAAGTCGCAGCGATTGGTACCCGATTTTAAGGTCTCAGGTTAACCGGTAGCGTCTGAGGTCAGGTCACGTGACTGAAGTTACGGGTTCGGTTTTTAGTAAATAACTTCGCAAAAAATGGCCGCAGAGCCGCGATTTTGGCATCATTGTGTTCGCCTACCTCAGGTGCATCGAATGGTATACTTTTTGCTAGGGTGAGGTCAACTTAAGTAGTTGACCTCGGGTCAAGGTCAGGTCAAAGCCCCTCAGGTCACGAAGCTGGGCAAAGGGTATCATATGGCATATCATTCGATTCGGAAGGTTGTAGTAGATACGCTAAAATTACAGGCCGATTCCTCTGGTTAGCAACTTGAAATTCCAACGTCAACTTCTCTGCCGGTTTATTACTTTACAGGTAGCGGTAACACGGCGACAGATGGATCCAGACTGACTGGAAAGGATAAAAACAAAACGAAATCGGCTCGGTGAAAAATGGAAGCATTACATCACTAACAAAAAGTGATGGATTCAGGACAGGGGCGGGCAAATAGAGGAAAGTTTTACTGGGTGAGGAAAGGTAGGGTACATCAACACGGGTCACGGGTGAAGGTAAAAAAAGGTAAGAGGCTACTAATCACAACACACTCCCCACTCGAAATCGAGCGCACGACCGATTTCGAAAAACAAACAGAACGATGAATACGACAAAAGGCACAGCACTCTGCGATAGTTCGCGGCGACGTAACTCGTCCCGATCACTGCACCGGTACGACTCAGTCCGACTCAGTCCGCCGCCTCCAGCAGGAACAGGCGGCTGACAGGGCGGCGAGTGCTCCGCCCGCGCAGGCTGATGACGGCGGCCCTCACGTGGCCGTCCGGTCCCGCCAGCAGCCGCGTCACTCGCGCCACAGGCCACCGGCCGCGCGGCCTCTCACTGTGGACTAGCACCACGTCTCCCACGCGCGGTGTACGGCTAGGTCGTCCACGGGGCGAGACGCTCCAGCAGCGGAGAGCGTTGCGGTACTCATCACACCACCGCCGGATCAGATGGTCGCAGACCCGCTTTTGGTGACGCCAGGCCCTGCTGATGGAACACTCTTTCAATGTTGGGCACAAGACACCGTCTATGCTCGTCACGCCGAACAGCAGGTGGGCGGGGGTAAGGAGATCTTCACCATCGCCCTGGGTGAGGGGGCGCAGGTTTATGAAAAAAGCGAGCTCATACATCGTGGCAGACAACTCCTCAAACGTCAGGTGGCACTGATGTAGGGTGATGCGAAGAGCCTTCTTTGTCACGCCCACCAAACGCTCCCAGTACCCTCCCCACCAGGGGGCAGCCTCAGGGATGAACTTCCACGTTACCGACCGGGGTAGGTGGCCAAGCAAGGCCCGGAACGTCCGAGCGTTGTCGCTGTACACCAGAGCTGGCGTCCCTCGGATGGCGCAGAACCGTCTCAGCGCCAGGATCACGTCAGCGGTGGCCTGTGAGCGAACAAGCTCTAAGTGCACCGCACGGGAAGTGGCACATGTTATCAAAAGCACCCACACTTTCGCCTGGCTCTGATCAACGTACAGTGGGCCGAAAAAATCGACACCGACTTTGGCAAATGGACGGCTCGGCTGTGTTCTGAAGTTGGGCAGTGCTCCCTCAGGTGATCGGTACGGTACGCATCGGTAACGACGGCATCGGCGACAGGTTTCAACGATTCGACGCACCGTGCGTCTCCTCACCGCGTACTCAGCAGTCAGCAGGGAGAGGGTTACCCGCGTCCCCTGGTGGAAGCAGAGGCGGTGCGCGTCATCGACAATCAGAGTGGTGACATGGGCCAGATCGGGCAGCACAGGCACAGCCCGCTCCCCACTGCGCAGCGTCGCCTCCAGCACGCCATCGTCACTTAGCTGTGGATGCAGCTTTTGAAGCGGTGAGCCGGCCGGCAGCAGTCTACCGGCACGTACGGCGTTGGTCTCCTCTCTGTAGGCACGGGCCTGTGCCTCTCTGATCCAGAAGCGGAGGCTCAGTCTCTTCTCCTCGGGCGTCAGCGGACCCGTCCGGCGCTCCTCCCTCGGTAGGCGGCTGTTGGTGACGAAACGGAACACCCACGCGAGCCTCAGCACAGCCTGTGTGAGGGTAGAACATGACGTAATGTCAAACGGTAGGGTCTCACTTGTGTCACTTCGCGTCGTCAGCAGGGTCAGCTTTAACGGGGGCTTCTGCAGCTTCACTTCACTGGTGGCCTCCTGAGACGGCTGCAGACTGTCGGCCTCGACTGTCGGTCCACAGCAGATCCTGGTATCAGGTCCCTGTCGGAGAAATGTCGGTCCTCGCCACCACAGATCACACTTCTCCAGAGCGGTCATGGACATACCTCTCGTCCCCAGGTCGGCCGGGTTGTCTTGTCCTCTTACGTGGTGCCATTGCCCCGCTTGAGTCAACTGGAGGATGGTGGTCACTCTGTTCTGCACGAACAGCTTCAGCTTCTTCTTGCTCTTCAGCCAGAAGATGACGTCCATGGAGTCGGTCCAATAGACGACTTGTGGGCTCTCCAGACTCAACGCCTGTCTGACAAAGTCCATCAGCCTGGCGCCGATGAGGGCACCCATCAGTTCAAGTCTGGGCACGCTGAGGGCGGGAGTCAGGGGCGCGAGACGAGATTTGGACATGAGCAGCCTGGACTCCCCACCCTGCACAGCGTAGATGACACAACAATACGCTTTCTTTGAGGCATCACAAAAGACATGGTAGGTGACGTCACAGTCATTCGTCAGCAGCGCGCGGGGGAACCATACAGTTTGGTCTGGTGCGTCTGTGAGCCATTCTGCTAGCTCCTCCTGTAGCTGTGGGGGCAGCTCCTCATCCCAGCTGACCGTGCATCCGACTCCCCACGTTCTCTGGAACAGAGACCTGCCGACAACAAGCCACGGAGAGAGTACACCGAGCGGATCAAACGGCTTACTCAGCAGGGACAGCATCTCTCTCCTGGTCTTGGCCACATGGAAGCCAGGCACACTCACTGCGAGCAGGTCCGTGGCGGGGTTCCACAGAAGACCCAGAACGTTGGCCTCGCTGTCAGCGTCACCGGAGATGCGCCGCTTGTGCAACTCCATGCCTGCGTCGCGGAAGATCTCCTCCGCCCGCGACATGCTCGACTCAGCTTCGGCTCTGCTGCAGAAGGAGGTGCACACATCATCCATGTACAGGCCACATTGCAACTTCTCACACAGACCCGGCTCCTCCCCACAGTACAGGTCCAGGTGAACAGAGATAGTTTGCAGCAGCATGAATGGGGAACATGTTATACCGAACGGAACTCTGCGGAAACGAAGACGCTGTCCGTCCCACAGAAACTGTAGGTACTTTCGGTCCTCCTCGGACACCGAAACCTGGTGAAAGGCAGCACGTATGTCTGTCTGAGCTCCCACGGCGTCTCGTCTGAAGTTGAGCAGCACGGCAGGCAGACGTCTGAGCAGATTGCTTCCCGGCTCCAGGTAGTCATTCAGGCTGTGGCCAGTGGCGTCCCGGGCAGAGCCGTCGAAGACCACCCGCAGCTTTCCACCGCGCCAGATGCCGCGGTGCGGCAGGTAGAACCCTTGTAGGTCATCGTTGGGCGGCGTCTCGATCACGCCGGCTCTATACAGATCTTCCAGGTGTCTCTGGTACGCTTCCCGCTCGGGGACTGTGAGCCGTCCCTCCATGCGTCTGATCCGGGCTGCTGCTGAGCTGAGGTTAGAGAGGGGGCGATCATCAGACTTCCACAGCAGGTTCATTTCGTACCTCTGTTCGGCGTCACTCCACTTCGGCTTCATCGGTGATCTCTCGTCCTCGTCCCCGGAGATGCCGAGCGCCTCCAGACTCCAGAGCTGCTCCGGCTTGAAGTCTGGCGACGGAAGCCGGCAGCAACGGAGCGCGTACTTCACAGACGCGCAGTCCACCGGCTCGCAGTCCACCGGTGACCCATCTCGGCCGTGCAGGACGTAGCCGAACACAGTCTCCAGGGCCCTGAGATGGTCAGTCAGCTTCACCTGCTCCCACAACACAACTCTGTACATCAGGTCGGCGCCGATCAACACGTCCACCGGCCCACCCTCAAAATCATCAGCAAGCAGAAGATGCGGTGTAAATACGGCAGTAGGCGGTCGGGCGGGGGTCAGTTGGGAACAGAGACGATCAGTCTTCCACAGATCGAAGACGTGAGGCTCCCCACCGTGACGGCTCCGCAGAGACAGCCTCACCTTCTCATACATCCTCGGCTCCTCGAGCCGCTCCTGGAAGCCCAGGCAGGCGAACACACCTCTCCCCACCGTGGGCAGACCGAGTAGCTCCGCTGCAGATGTCCTCACGTACGACGAGTCCGAGCCGCCGTCGAGAAGAACGCGAAGCTGGCAGGTACCCCGCGGTCCAGACGCCTCCACCAGAGCTGTCTGCATGTAACACAAGTTTTCGCATGCAGCAGGTCGGTCAGACGGAGCAGCCTCCAGCGGGCAAGCATCAGGTGAGCAGTGAGCGACAGCACACGGCGTCATATGCACGTCGGGCATAGCACAAGCGGTATTCACCCTAGCGGTAGTGCTGGATGATGGCACTAGCGGCTGTGGTGAGACTGGCGTTGGTAAGACTGGCTGTGGCACATCAACAGCGCAAGCAGCGGTGACATTCATGGCCTGGCGGGGAACAGCGGGCGACCAACCTGGACGTTGAGGTTGCTGACCAACTGGCGTTGGCGGTGGCAGATCTGGTAGGTAGCTCCCCTCGCGGCAGGGAGGCAGTTGCTGGGGACGGCTGTCCGCTCGGTGTGCGGGCGGCCGTCGGTCACGGGTACCAGCTCCGGGCTGGCGTCCTGGCTCACTGTGGAGGCTGGTGTGGTGTCGCTCTCCACACACACGGCAGTTGGAGCTGCGGCAGTCACGAGCAAAGTGCGGCCCCAGGCACTGATAGCACAAACCAGCCCTCCTCACTACAAGCCATCTATCATCAACAGACATTCTCTGATAGTCAAGACACTTGCTCAGGCCATGTTTATCCTTTTTGCAAGCCACGCAGGTCCATGCAGCACTGGCAGGGGTTGTTCGGTTCCGACTCACCGCCAGCATACTCACTGAGTGCAGTGGGCTCCGTTCCGGAGGGACAGGATGCCTGGCGCCGATGTTGGCTTCCTCCCTCATGTCCATCTCCTTGCGAAGAAACCCGAGGAAGTCCTCCAACCCTGGATCCGGCTGGTGCTGGCGCGCCCATTCGAGCCTCCACGACTCTGGCAGCTTTCCCTTGGCTATGGGAAGAAGCAGGCTCGACAGGTTAGCACAGCTTACTCCCATCGCGGTCAGTGTCCTCACATGTGACATCAGATGGTCTATGAAGGATCTCATGGCAGATAGGTCGTCACTGACACTGGGCATGTTCAACAACCTTTTCATGATCTCCTCCCTCACTCTCTCGATTTTACAGAATCGGTCTTTCAATGCATCCACAGCTGACTGGTAGCAAGCATCAGACACTGGTATACCTTTAACACATTGCAGTGCTAAACCAGAGAGGTGGCTCTTTAGTATGCTGAACTTCTGTACATTCACATACCTTGAATTGGTGTGCACAGCAACCTCAAACAGGTCCCAGAATTCTGACCACTGTAACAGATCTCCAGAAAATACTGGAATCTTTACATCAGATGCCCTCAGGTCAGTAGAGTCAGACTGAGCTGGGGCTGGTTGAGCAGACCCATTCTCAATCCTTGACAGATGACGTTTTGCCTTGAAAACCTCCTCCCTGATGCCATCTAAATGTGAACTCTCGTCAAACACTCCCTTGACAGTCAGAACATCCTGCAAAGAAACCATCTTCTGCTCTAGCTGCTCCAAAACATGAATTTTGTACGCCAAGTCATCTTGATCGACTACTCCTGCCCTGTAGTCTTTCAAGTCACGGGTCAGCTTTGTGGCCTTACCTCTAAGCAGAGTTCTGTCCTTCACCAACACCTCCACTTCCTCACTCATCTTGTCAGGCATCTTGATGTCAAATCACAGCGCAAATCTTCAAAGCAATCAGCAAAGAACAAAGAAGCAAATGACTGAAAAAACAGTCATCCGGCCGCGGAGGACTATGTAGTAGATACGCTAAAATTACAGGCCGATTCCTCTGGTTAGCAACTTGAAATTCCAACGTCAACTTCTCTGCCGGTTTATTACTTTACAGGTAGCGGTAACACGGCGACAGATGGATCCAGACTGACTGGAAAGGATAAAAACAAAACGAAATCGGCTCGGTGAAAAATGGAAGCATTACATCACTAACAAAAAGTGATGGATTCAGGACAGGGGCGGGCAAATAGAGGAAAGTTTTACTGGGTGAGGAAAGGTAGGGTACATCAACACGGGTCACGGGTGAAGGTAAAAAAAGGTAAGAGGCTACTAATCACAACAAAGGTCTTCCCGAGTCCATTGGTGGCTTTCCCGACTCTCTAGCTCCATTTGTTCGGGAGTTATTGACGAAAAACTCGTACGACCCTAGTGACGTCATAAATGACGTCACGCAAAGTTACCAATGCAAAAGTAGAGCATTGGACTTTGCAAGGAGTGTATGAAATCACGATACCATGTACGTGGGATAGTTTTAGATCATTCTCGGCGCCAAAATAACAGTTTTTATATTTCCCCATTTATTTATAACAGTGATGTCACGTGACCGACCTGACCTCATGTAACCTTGAAAAATTCCCAGATATACAAGTTGTGAGACCTCTGGAGGACACCATGTATACGTCCTGTAACTTTCATCTCGGACAGCTATGGTCATTGGCGTCCAAAGCAATGCCAGAACCAAACAGCCTTTTTCACCCTCGCGCTTATAGGAAAGAGGGTTGAATGAACCCTCTTTTCACTTTTTTCAGAGAACTCAGACTTGAATTGAAATTCAGTAACCCGTGATGTCACTAAGCAGCTTTACCACGCCCTTTGTAAGCTCCCCTCCCGAAATCACTATTCGAAACCGTTATCGTGACGTAAAATAAATACATTTATAGAAAGAACACCTTCCTAATTTTTTGCATACATCTTAACAATGAGCCAAATATTTTTTTTAAAGAAATAAAAATTCAAAAAAATTTGGTCCCAAAGTCCAAAAAATACAAATGAAAGAAAACTCGATATGTCATATATCAAAAATAGCGTATTTTTCGAAATTTCAAAAATACATATTAATCTCTGTTTCATTGCAAGTTTAATGTAATATAACATTTGGCATTTGAATAATCCGTCTTAGAGTTACAGCCCGCCAAACTTAGCGCTGCAAAGCAAGATCCAAAAAATGTTATACACCATAACTCAAAAAATATTTATCTGATAAGCCTGAAATTGTTACAGGTGGATTCAGAGCCCGTGATTACCCCTGAGACCAATTCTCGTCAAATTCCGAGAGATGAGGGTGTCAAATTGGAAAAAAGTGGTACGATCTATCGTGGAATGCCCCAGCTGTCAGAGGCGGTTGACATGTATTACGCATACTCGTCACAACCCCTACCGGTTGACCTGACCTGACCTGACCCGACCTGGTCTAAATGCTTAAAGACATCATCTCTGATCAAAACTAACACGATATTCGTGATCAGCACCCCGGAACACCATATACCAGCCACACTTTACTTACGAATTTCTAACAGGTCCCGATTTTCCCGGTTTTCGGGTCATTGACCTGACCTGGAAGGTCACCCGATGACCTAGGACCTTAAAATTGGGTATCATCGGCTTCCTCTCGTGACGGGCAACACGCTCGTTTTTTCCGCGAAGCTCTAGCTCGATCAGGGGCCAACATAGGCGCGGGAGTCGGGGGGGGGCAGTGGGGGCAGCTTGCCCCCCCAACTCTGGGGCCGTGGGGGCGGTGCCCCCACAGCTTTGAGACGGAATACCACACTTTTTTTGCAAATGTTTTCTTTTTTGTTGAAAAAGCCGAGGGATGGAAAACAAGTGGCCTAAAACCGGTGAGAAAACTAGATTTGGGGGTACCCTAGGTGATCTCTATTATGGTGTGCCCCCCCAGTCGGAAAGTAGTTCCCGCGACCCTGGGGGCCAAACGCGAGGGGGGTCGTACCCCCCCCCCCACCCTTGTGCCGTCGAAGGACGCAAAATGGCCTGTGCCGGCGAGGGTTAAGGTGGGATGGTCACTTATGATCAACAATTTTCAGTCAGGTCTCAATTTGCAGTTAACCAATGGTAATTTAATGTCTTACCACTGTAGAGTTCACAAGCCGGCTGAGCTGTGGAGGTGTATTGCACTATCACTGACCAAAACCAGACTGCCCTCTCTCTCCGATCCAGCACACACATCGCCTCGCTACATATCGGCCGACCGATCACACACTGACACATAACTCGGGTGGTGTGGCCTGATCACGCCACCCAGCCACCGACCAATGACAGGCGCCCACACCGTACCAGGGTGGGGTGACCCAGCACCCGGTCACATCGAGCCGGTACGAACCGGTACGGGGCGGCCCAGCAGGCGAGGCCCAAACCAGAACATCTCCCTCCCCCTGAAGAACTTCTTGCAAGAAGTTCTAGTCGCTGTAGCCGAGCCTGTCCGGACGATGTCGTTGACGTGAGCTGCGCCTCAGCCTTGCAGGGGGCAGCTGGAACCGGACCCGACGTTCAGGAACGGCAGATGGGTCAGGGTCCGTAGATTCGGGTGACGACTTGTCAGTTGCAGACAGCCTGTCTGCAGAGCGGAGGAAACGCCTGTTCCTCCATAGTACTCTTCCGCTGGGGAGCTTGACGTGGTAGTCTCGCTTGTAGCCCACGCCGATGATGACACCAACTTTATCCCATCGCTTGCTGATGGGATCCTGAAGTCGGACATCGGCTCCGATCTTGAGGGGTGGAAGGCTGCGAGCCGAGGAGTTGTAGTGCTGCTCGCGTTGAAGACGATCCCGCGCAGCCCTGGCATCGCAGTCGTCGGCGCGCAGTTGCCACTCCGGGGCGAACGCACTGCGATGAGCTGGAACCCAGGAGCGGATTGGATGGCCAAAGACGATCTGTGCTGGAGATCGGCCACTGGCGCCAGGGGTGTTCCGCAGCTCCAACAGTCCCTGATGCAGCCGCTCATCGTCGACGGAGCCGTTGGTCGTCGTTTTGGCGATGAGGTGCTTGATGGTCTTCACCGCAGCTTCAGCATGCCCGTTAGACTGGGCGTAGTATGGCGTGGAGAAGACGTGGACCACGCCCCACCGCTTGAGGAAGGCGGCGATTTCCCTGCTCTTGAATTGAGGGCCACCGTCTGTGCGAAGCCGCACTGGTACGCCGAGTGTGACGAACACCTCTCGCAGAGCTTGGATGACCTGCCGACTGGTTGTGTCTCCTCGTGGGAACTGGAAGATCACTGGCCAGTTGGAGAGTCTGTCCACACAGACCAGGAAGTCTCTTCCAGAGAGTGTGAAGATGTCGGATGACAGATCCTCGAAGATTCTTGATGGTGGTGGTTCCAGCACTATCGGTTCCGGTGGTAGACTCGGTCGGCGCTCCTGGCAGGCGTCGCACGCTCCAACCGTGTTGGTGATGTCGCTGTTGATGCCTGGCCACCAAACGGTTTGACGAGCTCTGCGTTTGGTTCTATCGACGCCTTGGTGGGAAGCGTGAAGAGCCTCCAGGGTGGCCTTCCGTGAAGCCGCAGGGATGACGATGCGACATCCCTTGAGGATAAGGCCACTGTGTGTGGATAACTCATGACGGACACTCCAGAAAGGACGGAGAGGCTGAGGAAGCTGCTCCTTGGAGACAGGGAAGCCATCCGTGACAGCGCGCAGAAGGAGTTGGTACTCGCTGTCAGAACCGGCGACTTCAGTGAGCTTCTCGAGACGCGGGTCAGGCAGGTGAGTTTCACCTTGCAGAACAGTGATCTCTTGAATGGTGCTGACTGACACCCGGCGGACATGACATTCCACCTCCTGGACCAGTTGATCGTCGTCAGCGGTGGGCTCATCGACAGGAGCGCGAGAGAGCGCGTCTGGGATGACGTGCTCCTTCCCACGGATCCACTTGGCGGTGAAGTTGAAGAGCGACGTCTTCTCCTTCAGTCTCTGTAGGCGGGAGTTCTCAATGGTGTCGAGAGTGAAATCGTTCAGTATCGGCAGGAGTGGCCGATGATCCACGAGGACCTCGAAGTGTGGGAGGCCGCGTAAGAAGATGCGACACTTCTTCAGCGCCCAGACGATCGCCAGCAGCTCCAGCTCCACCATGGCGTATCGGGTTTCCGTGTCCGAAAGGAAACGAGATCCGCATTGCACCAGACGCCAGTGGTTACCGTGGCGCTGAAGCAGGGCGTATCCGAGGCCTTTCCGTCTTGCCGCATCTGTCTGCAGCATCGTGGGCAGAGATGGGTCGAAGTGCGCCAGCACAGGTGGCGCTGCCAGAGCCGCTTTCATCGCGTCGAATGCGGCCTGATGGTCTGGAGTCCAGATGAAACTGTTGCTTGGCTTCAGTAGACCACGCAGAGGCTCGGCCGTCGAGGAGATCTCTTTGGAGAAGTCGCCGAGCTGCTGGACGAGGCCCATGAAGGATCGCAGCTCCGTGATGTTGGTAGGCGGTGGGAACTCGGTGATGGCAGAGACCTTGCCTGGCTGGACTTGCTTCCCAGCAAGTGACAGCGTGAAGCCGCAGAAAGGCACCTCTTCCACGGCGCAGAAGAACTTCTTCTCATTGAGGGTGATGCTGTTCTCCCGACAGCGGTCGAGAAGAGCTCGGAGATGACGCTCGTGCTCTTCCAGGGTTTTGCTATACACCAGGATGTCGTCGACGACTTTGACGAAGTTGTTGAGTCCCTGAAGAGCGATGTCACCCCGTCGGCAATACTCATCACCAGTCGAGATCAGGCCCATCGGAGCTCTGAGAAACTTGTAGCGGCCCCAGGGAGTTATGAAGGTCGTCAGATGTTGGCTCTCAGGATGCAGAGGCAGCTGCCAGTATCCAGACTTCGCGTCCAGTGTTGAGAAGAACCTCGCATCCGTGGGTACCTGTGAGATGGCTTCACGAGGCGTGATGAGGGGATGTAGTGGCCGCTTGACAAACTTGTTCAGCTTGGTGAGGTCTATGCAGATGCGTACACCAGTGTCCTTGGCAACCAGCACGAGAGGATGACACCAATCTGTAGGTTCTGCGCCGAGTGGTGCGATGATGCCTTGCAGAACCATCTGGTCCAGCTGCGTTTTGACCTCGTCCCTCCAGGCGAAGGGAACCTGCCGAGCCGTGCGGACCGCAAACGGCGTGACTTCCTCAGTGACGTGGATGACCATTGATTCACCGGACATCGGTTGGAGTGAGTTCTTGCCGTCCGCCGTGAAGACATCACGGTATTCCTTGACAAGCTCTTGTCGCAGCTTGCCATGCTGCCGAACAGCAGACTTCGGATCCGTTGGCGACGTCCTCCCTT